ATTGATGATTGACGATTGAAGATTGGAACTTGACCATTTGGAACAAAGCAAGCCAAGGCTGAAGCTTGTTGATTCGTCAAAATCTAATCTTCAATCGCTAATCGCTAGTGTGTTTTGGCCTTGACGCAGTCAGTGGGAACTCAGCCTAAAGGCCAAATCATACTAGCGATTGACGATTGACAATTAAAGATTAGATTTTAACGAATCAACAAGCTTCAGCCTTGGCTTGCTTTGTTCCAATTAGTCAAGTTCTAATCTTCAATCGTCAATCATCTATCGCCAATCGCTAGTGTGATTCGCCCTTTAGTCAGATCTTATATTTAAGACAGTCTTAAGTTTATCTTCAGGTGATATATGGATCATTTCATTGGCTACGAAGTCACTGTTACGTGTGTGTGTGTGTGTGTGTGTGTGTGTGTGTGTGTGTGTGTGTGTGTGTGTGTATAGTAGGACAGACTCAGTCAAAATCAATTGGTTGCGCACGTAATCAAGGAGGAATTTTTGCCACAGGGTGCTTACAATAACGAGAATAGAGCGAGTGAGATCTGGAGGGTGGGACCCGATTGACCACGATACGATAGGACACAAATTGTAATGATTGGTTCGACCTAGTAATTCACTAGATAATTCTTTTCATCGGTTGGTTGTGTCCAATCGTACGGTGGTCAATTGGGACGCTCCCGCTCCGAGGTAGTGCAGTCCATGCACTCTCATGCGTTCGAGAATTAACCTAACCTAGGTTTGACAACCTCATCCGAGTGCTCTCCCTCTCTTTTTATCTCACCTTCGTATTTCTCTCATTCTAAGGGCCAGCGCACAAACATTGGGCGCGTTCAGCAGATTCCAACAGTTGCAAAGCGGTTGAGCGAATGATACGTAGCGCTTAGTGATGAAAATCGTGTCTGCTGAACGGGCTGAACACGGTTTATCTCACATCTCGTCACGTGACTTCAGTGTATCTCGTCACGTGACCGCAACTTATTTGGAATATGACAGAGGTTAGATTCGATTGGTACAGCTGATAGACTTTCGAGGAAAGAGGATACGGAAAAAGCCGGTATTTCGGAAGTTATTCAAGTTAAGCAGCTAGAGATACAAGATTTCTATATGCTCGTTACATCGCTGGCCCTCTTTTCTATTATATTGGCATATTTTTACTTGTGTGACAGGTAATTGCTAGATGCAAGATTTACATATCACAATTTACGTATCACAATTTCTTAAGCTCATTTTAAAAAATATACTATAATACACGATTTTAATAGTGTTTACTTCTTTCTTCTCTCATGTGCGCTGCCATCTTGTTTCGCAACATGTTGCGCGTAGGTAGCGGAGAAAAAGTTTAATGGGAAAAATGGCGTCCGCTCCCGGAACATGTTGAGTAGCGGTAACTGAGCGAAGTGCGTTCAGCAGACATCTACACAACAGTTGTACAACAGTTGCGTCTGCTGAACGCGCCCATTGCCGTAGCTCCTTAAGGCCATTCTATAATTGCGTAATCGTAGTCGTGAACGTAAGAATCAATCAATTAGAGTGTTTTATTTACTGATTGCTTTATTTTGATTGGTTGTCGTAATCATTTACAACCATTTACAACTACGCTTACGCAATTGTAGAACGACCTTTAAGCCCATTCTACAATTGCGTGAACGTGGTTGTAAGTGGTTGTAAGTAATTACGACAACCTATCAGAGTAAAGCAATCAGTGAATAAAACATTCGAATTGGTTGACTCTTACGTTCACGACTACGCTTACGCAATTGTAGAATGGGCTTTACGCCACCTTACATGACAACCTTACGTTACGTGAGACGTAAGCTGAACGTACGGCAACGCACGAAAATTTTACGTTACGTTACTTTACGAAAGAACATAAAGATTCTGTAACAAAGGTAATTAAATCAGATTATTGAACAATAAGTAAAGAAACAATAATAATTTATCTTTACAGTCATAATTAGAAATGTCTATATTGATCACATATTAATTTTATTAAACTGTTAAATGTATCTGTACAAAATTATAAACATTGCGTTATAACTTCTTTCCAACACTATATATAAAATGTGTTTGACATATAAATATTGAAATATAATTTTAGGTTCTCAAGTCAAATATGAAAACATCAAAGTCTATGGAATTAAAATGTTTATTGTTGTTATTACTCTTAATTTATTATATGAGACTAAAACAAAGGAAAACACACAAAAGATGGCAAAATAGAAGATGACTCGTGAGATTAATTAATCAACAGAGAAAACAGCAAGGAGAATGAAAATCTGTTTCAAGAATTAAAAACTGATGAAGACATGTTTGTCAAATATGTCAGGATGAATGTTCAATATTTTAACAAGTTATTAAACATGCTAAGACCTTATTTGGTAAAAAAAACTAAGACTCTGTCTCTGGAACACACGCTAATAATAACATTAAGGTAAATATAGTTTATTAGTAAAAAAAATTGTTTGATATAAGTACGTCTTAAATTTTTAGTTATGTTTAGAAATCATTGTTAAAAAAAAAATGTTTCACGAAATTATAAACTATATAGTAAAAATTGTGATACATTTCTCAGATATCTTGCAACAGGGAATTCAGTAGCAAGTATTGCATTTTCTTTTCGAGTTGGGCAGTCAACTATTAGACAGTTAATGAAAGAAGTGTGTGTGTGTGTGTGTGTGTGTTGTGTGTGTGTGTCTAGTTATTGTTAATACATTACAGCCTCTATATTTAGCATGTCCAACTGAAGAACAGTGGAAGAATATTGCTGATGGATCATTATACGAGTACATAATGGAAACGCAGCATCTGCGATAAAAAATTCAGGCATAGAGATATTACTTCCGGGAAGATAAGCGCGTGAACTGGGCAAATTAAGTCCATTATTTTTTAAGTATTTTTCAATAGTTGACGATTCAAAAATTGCTCTGTCACTATTTCCTCCATAGGCTCTTATATCAACTAAACTAAATCTATATAAATGATCAGATATTGCTATAAGAACAATGCTGAATTGTTTCTTATAATTAAAATACAAGCTTCCAGAATTAGGAAGACATCGCAAAACTATGTGTTTCCCGTCAATAGCTCCAAAGCAGTTAGGCATATTCCATCAGTTCCAGTATCCATCAGCAATATTCTTCCACTATTTTTCAGTTGGACATGCTAAATATAAAGGCTATAATGTATTAACAATAACTAGACACACACACACACTTCTTTCATTAACTGTCTAATAGTTGACTGCCCAACTTGAAAAGAAAATGCAATACTTGCTACTGAATTCCCTGTTGCAAGATATCTGAAAAATGTATCACAATTTTTGCTTTATAGTTTATAATTTCGTGAAACATTTTTTTTAACAATAATTTCTAAACATAACTAAAAATTTAAGACGTACTTATTTACGACAAACAATTTTTTACTAATAAACTATATTTACCTTAATGTTATTATTAACCTGTGTTCCGGAGATAGAGCTTTCTTAGTTTTTTTTTATCAAATAAG